ATGTGCCAGCATATTACAACTTTGGGTGACACTATCTAGTCACATAACTAAGAATTTTAAGTGAAAACTTAGCAAACTGTTCACAAAACTGAAGCCTAACCAAGGATGCATATGTATGTGCATACACATAGAAAGGAGTGTATGGCCGTGTGTGCGTATAGTTAAACGCTTGCAATAAGGAGCCCCATTAAGAACCCTGGCACTAAGCCATTGCTAGTCACCACACTGGTACAAATTACACTAATATAAATTGCTTTTCCACACTTTATGCAATGGCCAGCCAAGTGAGAGCAGGTTTGAGGGCTGCAGGCCACAGAACACTATACACAGAGAACGGTCCTTGAAGGGGACCTGAGCACAGAGGACACCAACGATATGCTTCCTCTCAACATTTTTCCTACAGATTTCAATGTTATGGAAGAACAAATGCAACACACACACACACACACACACACACACACACGCCTTTGCACACCCATGCAGACAGACAGACAGGATGCCCAACTACATAACGACAATCATTTAAGACTCTTCTTGCATGCACTTGGTGGCCCGCATATACACCGAGTTACTCCCCACTGCCACCCCCACTCTCCTCGCTGCTGAGGAAAGACAAGCCGAGGAGGTAAGCAGAACGGACCCTGCAGACAGACAGGCCCATGGATCATCCGCTCTACTAACCCAAGAGACAACCAACTGAGCTAATCCAGCACCGGCATGCCCTAAAAGAACTGTTACTTCTAGCCTCTTCACTTGTAAGTCAAGGTAAAAATGACAATAATGTGTATCCCAGGGTCTGCGTCAGATTCTTGGGCTCTACGGCAAAAATGAGAGAGGCCTTGTCCCTAATCCCACATGCATATAACCCACTCTCTCCTATTCTAGCTCAGAATATTTACTAGGAACTCCGATAGGACAATTTCGGTCTATTTTCTTATGAGAAATGCAAGATACCTGATCTAACCAACAGGGTCGAGAGTATCTGAAATGAGAAACTGGAAGTAAACACTTGACAAGTGGGGATGTTATTCTCTTTTTAGCAGTTCTCCACACCCGGGAGCAAGAGCGGGGAGAAACCACTGGAGTCTCAGGATACTGCTCCCAACCTGCTGCCCCTGAGGGCCTGGCTCCAGCCCAGGGGTTGAGTAACAGGGACAGTGCTGAATTTTAGTGGAGTCCATCACCACTCAAAGCTCCTGCTGGCTCAGCAGTGTGTAATAATGCATCATGTCATTGCCTCTGGAGGCTTCATAAAGACTCTTCCCATATAAGGTCCTCTGGACTTATTAACTTGCCATCACCTGCTTCTTTCAAACCAGTACCTCGTCTCAGAACTATCACTCGCACAGGTTTAGTGTGCATGGGGAGAGTGGCAAAAGCAATAGAAAACAAGGTTAAGGTCAGCATAAAGGAGCCCGCTCTCTGTGGGGCTGCCCTTTGGGGAGGGGCAAGTACGGTTCCTAGGGCTCCAGACCTGAAGGAAAGCTGGAGCTCCGTGTGTGCTGCACTCAACAAAGGGTGAAATTCTGAAATTCCGGTTCAGGATTCAACATTTCTGCCTTATATTGACTACGACTATTTCATCAAGAATGGTTCCTTTTACAAAATCTGCATGTCATTTGTCAACAAGAAGAATCCTTTGCTTCTCTCTCTATGAGCATGACTGCTTTTGGCTCGCTTCTAAAGCACTAAAAACTTCCTTCCCATTATGGTTTTATGCTGTTACTTTCTTTAACTGTCCAGAGGCTTTTAGGTAATGTGACCCTGAACAGACATTTTTCTTCTTACTCAATAGTAGAAATAACAAAGGGCCTCATTGTTACTGGAGAAATGAATTAAGGCAAATGAAGTGAGTTTTCTGAGGAGGCAAGAGACACAAGAGCTGTAGTGACCTGCTCATCCGCTTCACCTCCACCATAACTAGTTATTTCCTTATGATCAGATCCTGAATCTGTAGATAGGCCAATGTAACAGGCTCAGAAGTCTCCTGTAGGTGTAAACACTGGAGGACATTCAGACTGCCACCCCACTATCATGCAACATGTGTCACACAGCTGGGAAACACCTGTCCTTCGATTCCACTTCCAGCACGCCACTCGCCTGCATACAACCGTTTGGGCTATAGCTTCAAGTATAAATTTGGTTTGGTTTTTAAGGCTGTCTATAATCAGTTCCCTCCTTTAGCTGTCATCAGTCTCACTGGTCCCTTCGGCATCCGGGAACACGTTACCCTCATTCTCCAAACTCCGGCTAAGAAGACCATCCTCTAGCTTCACAGTCTCCTCCATACTACTATAAAGTTCATTCTAGTAAATTTAGCTCAATAGTATATCCCCTAGAACACCTACCCCCTAAACTGGCCTTCCTTCCCTCAACTGCCACAGCAATGATGCTATGAAGCACACAACTTAGCACTTAACCATCAACTGCTTAGTATTTTGCAATAGTCATTTCATGTGGGCTGGTGCTACTGCCCTGGAAAAGCCTGAAGACAGGCGCCATTCATGCACTTGCTACTTTCTGCAAGCAGTATATATGACATATGCCCTCTTACTACTTGCTGACTGACTGATGGATAATATGGCCCTGTCCTCTGGGATGATCTCACTACCAAGTAAGTTTAATGAAAAGGTCAAAGACCTCTCCAAAGCCAGTCTCTGATTCCTTGTACCTTTCAGTTTCCTAAGATGAGGGAGCACTTGCTCTTCTCTTTGCAGGTGACAGTGGTACTCTGAGGTCTGCAAGCCAGAGGCCCATTCCTCAAAGACTCCACTAACTGCAAAGCAGCCCCCAGGTGTTATTTTGCCAAAGTGCACAAACTTCTGCTGGCTCCATGTAATCCAAAACCTCCTAATGCATTTAAAAACAATTTCACCGTCTAGATTAGAATAACCTCCTATAACTTTGTAACAGATCTCAACCATAGCAACAAATGGCTTCTACCTTCCCTTTCAAAGAGCTGAGGAATTTGCCGAGTGTGCCAACAACCTCAAAGTTAAATGTAAGCACCCAAGCCTTCTGATTCCAGCAGGTTTCTCCCGGTCGTGGAATATTCTGCTTAGAAAGACAGATGCCCTAGAAGCAAGGCTTAGACGGGGCTTGGAGAATCCATGACTAGCACCTGAGTGAAGTATAGAGCAGTTTTGGCAGCTTCATTTATGAACACCTGCATACAACACATACCTT